TTCCGTCCTAGCCTCAATTCCCAGTGGCTTGACCACAATTCGTCCAATGAGATTCCCGTGCTAGTAGACTAGCCTCGTTTTAGTAGGTTAGCCTCAGTCCGTCTGGACACAGACCTCAATGCGGTGACTGCAGCCGGACATCACTTCATACCCGGCCCGACTGGGGAATGGGCTGCACTCGTCCGAGTCAAATATCCTCCTACCTATTCTTCGTTTCCTTCTGTACAGAATAAACTCTTCCGACCACTCTGGCCTTCCCTCGACTTATATCTTCTCCTAAGGAACCGGGTCTGGAAAATCGTAGCAGCTAGAGTTAACGGTATTAACCCCAACTCATCGATAACTGGTGACCTCGACTCCTCGATACTCTCATTCCTGTTTATTCTTTACTTAGATGCAAACTACTTAGAAGGAATGACCCCTGGGTACTTTGAAAGTTAAAAAGCAACTATCCAAAATTCAATCGTTTTATAACTAATTACATCAGACCTTATGGGGCGTTTATAACTTGCACGCTGACTGAACCCAGAAGAGTGCAAATCAAGCACACACGAGTGAATACTGAGATAAATTTCTGACGAAAGCAAATGCGCACAAATACAAACAAAATTGCCGAATTTGTGAAAATACCTTCATCTGTTTGGACCGGCTGTGCTCCCAGTTCACGCATTTCATCCAACAGAGCATCAAACAGTGTAATCAGCTGTTTGACGGCATGCAGCTCCGACACAGGCATCAGCTGACTACAGTGGAAATTGACGCATTCCAGGCAGGGGTCCACAAGCCACTCAAACAGATCGCTAACCAGCTCCCGATGCTCCTCGTTGAGAACAGGCGGCAGGCCGTGCTGCAAGTATGAATGAACCATTGGACGCCAGCCCAACTGCGAGGGCTCCATGAAGATCATGCCGCACCGCGAGACAGTGGCCGGACTGGCTTGTTCCAAGTCAGCCGGCTCAAAGATCAGATTCATCGCCTTTGACATTGAAATGATCTCACCGGACATGAGGCACAACTTTTTGTTATCATCAAGCACGGTGTTCATATTCTCGATCCAGACAGCATCCACGGGACCGTCAAAGAGGATCCATCGGCGGTTATCATCCTGCGCTGTGGCAAAGTCACGGAACATCACCGCCAAGACGCCGTCTGACCACTCGTGGGAGACTGGATCAAATTGGCCATACAATTGTCCCATTGTGATAGACTTGGGATTGATTATGCCGTAGTGAACAGGTGTTTCGCCTGCCGAGGGTTCAGTTTCAGATAGCTGGGTGATAGCATTCGCTAGAGTCTGGTAGGACTGTGTTTTCCCCGACAACGGCTCTCCGACAATCATAAGTCCGTGTCGCACAAGGATCATTTCATAGACCTGCAAGATCTTGTCAAGGTACCAGGGAACAGGCTGGAGTTGGCGAGCTGCCAGTTGATCCTTAACCGCGGCAAAGAATGCGCCGTAGTCGCCCTCACTCAGGTGAACACCCGGAAATAGATCCGAAATGATGCCCTCAAAGAGGGGGATGTCCTGCGCCAAGAACTTAGGCAGATTCACATCTTTAATGGCCTTGAGAACCAGCTTGGCCTCCTCCTCGTCGGGGTATTTTTGCCGTAGATTGCCTGCGGCTGTGAGCACTGACTTCACTGCTCGCATGCCGTAATCGTAGTGGTGTTGGGATGAAAGCTGCTCTGAACAGAGTTTGTACGTGGCGACGATCTTACTGGCGAGACTGTTATTGACAGATAGGAAGGAAAAAAGCGCAAATAGTTAAACAAAACCACTTTTGCAGGACAAATGCAATATAATCAAATATTTGAATGAAATTTTCTCACTTTTATTTGTTTTAAATCAAAAATGAGTTCCCGCTTTTTAATGCACTTTTCGACTATTGTTAATGGTCATTTCTATATGTTATACACAGTTGGAGGCGGGTTATGATGAGAGAGGAAATGTGAGGTTGTGTTTGCTTAGTGCTGCTACGAATGTTCGAAGATAGGTGATAACCAACTAGGAACTATTAAACTTATAAAGCGAAATTAGCCGAAGGAGTGTTACGCTTCTGGAGACAAAGACAAAGACAGCTATTAAATTGCCAATAGAGGAGAATATACGCGTTCCAGGCAGCAGTTCCGAAGAAGAAGATGCGATCACTGGAACAAGGACTT